AACACTAGGCTTTTAGAAACCAACATTTTAATATTGTCATCAAAATAGCAGGTTATTACTAATGCTTGTTTGTGTCTTTAAAAAGGAATCTTTCTCTTTAAAATGTTTTAAAAACACCTTAATGATAATACTAGCAAACATTTATATAGTACTTTAAAGTTTACATATGTTAGCTTATTTGATCCTCACAATAACCCTGTGAAGGAAATGCTCTTATTATCCCCATTTTTCAGATGAGGAAACAGCTGAGAAAGTATAAGTGACATATCTAAGGTCATACAGTTAGTTATTCAACTAGTATTTATTAAGCATCTACTAAGCTCAGTCCTGGGGATACAAATAAAAGCAAAAAATGTCTCTGAACTTAGGGAGTTCCCAGCCTAATGGGGAAGATAACTTACAAACAACTATATACAAACAAGATATGTAAAGGAAAAATATGTTATTTATTTATTTATTATTTATATTATTTATTATTTTTTTTATCAAGATAAAGCTATATACAGGATAAAGATGATATTGAAGATATTATTTCTGAGGCAGTATTCAAATTTAGTCTTACTGACTCCAGGTTCAATACTCTAAACACTGCACCAACTAGCTAGTTTATTTGTTTTTTTTTTCATATAAGTTCCTAAGACTTCAGAGTCTTAGGAACTAGGACTTTGCTGGACTAGATCTGATTTATACACCATGCAGCTTTAATGTTTGAGAAATACAGAATTTATCATTTTTGTCCTGCAGTTATTGTTGATTTGGCTTTTTTCCCCTCATTTATAAGATCCTATATTTATATTTATAAAGCAATAGATGTTGAGCAATTCTTTTTCCCTTTTTCCATTACAGATAACCAAAACTCTTTCTTCACTTCATTAATAGAATTTGGATGAATTAAATCTATTAAGTATTCATTTATTTATTAGAGGGGGTTTGTGTGTGTGAGGCAATCAGGTTTAAGTGATTTGCCCAGGGTCACACAGCAAGTAGGTGTCAAGTGTTTGAGGCTAGATTTGAGCTCGGGTCCTCTTGACTCCAAGGCCAGTGCTCTATCCATAGCAGCACCTAGCTGCCCCTATTAAATATTTATTTAGCATCTAATATGAGCAATTTTTAAAGAGTTGCCTGAGGTAATGTAAGGTTAGTGGTTTGTCCATGGTGACATAGATGGTACAAGTCAGAGGCAGGACATAAAGTAAGGTCTTCCTGACTCTGAAACAACTCATGCACCACTAATCCATCCTCTCTCCCTCCCTCTCCCCCTCCCTCTTCCCCTTCTCTTCCTCATCTTCCCCTTCCCTCTCTGTCCCTCTCCTTCTCCCTTAGTTTAATAGGCCATTTGTAGAGGACATTCCTGAGACATCCCTATTCCAAGGACATCAGAGATCCAGTTAAAAAAATATATAAAATGAGCAGAGACTGGGTCAAGTGCTAGTGATTACACACTTACACACACACGCACGCATGCACGCACACCTTATGAAAAAAAAAGTTAAATCATTCCTTCCCTCAAGTAGCATACATTCTACATTTACATTTATTATTTGGCTGGAATTCACTTATATTCTAATAATTGTTCTTCAGTTACATTGAATCAAGAGAGCTATTTCCGTCCTATAACATTGAAAACTGAGGTAGATTCAATGTTGAGTGATGAGTATTAATGACATAAGTTTTCCCAACAGAAAGATATTTCAGAACGGTGATTTATCATCTCAGTCTAGCACAACACCTGCTTGGCCTAGATTCACAACATATGTATCTGAGAGCTAGTATGCAATTCCCATTTCCAACCATCTTTGCAAGAACAAAGCTTTCATGTAAAGAGTTAGTCACATACAGTATTTATAATGATATATCAAAATCATCAAATGAATTACAAATAAGACATGATGAACTGGCATTTAGAATGGGAAGGACATTCCCCACCAGGTGATAATAATTTGAAGGTGGATTTGACTGCAGGCTTGTAGAAGTTGATACAGTGCTCCCCTAATCAAAGGGTAGTTAAAAAGAATATTAAATGAGCTGACACATTTTGACGTGATTGCAGATTGCAGATCAGATACATGTGCACTGCACATTGTGACTGTGTTGGAAAGACTTTTCATCCTGTAGGTTATGAATTTCAAATGAACTCCTTAGACCAAAACTTCAAACTTACTTATAAACCAACAGCCCTGAAAACCTCATCCATGCATGCAAACTGAAACACGGGTGTTCGATTGTTAGGCATGGCCCTAAATTCATTTTATCTTAGAACTTTGGGTTTCGTGTGCATGTCTTTGCCCAAAATGTGTCCAATGATTTGAGGAGTATGCACCAGTTTTATTTATAATAACCTTAGTACATGTTTATTTAATCATTTAAATGGCATACCCTAACTCCTGCCAAAAGAACCTGAAGGTTCTTACTTTTTGTGTTTTTTCAGGATAATTATTTCAGAAACAAAACAAAAGAAAATGTATTCTTTCAGTGATTTGGAAAAAATCCTTTATCAGATCATTTTGGTTGAGAAAATACAATCACCAAAATTGTAAATTACTACATAATAATGAAGAGGCTAAATAATACATTTGAACAGGAAGCATATATATGCATATATATATACACAAATATATACATATAATATATAACACAGACACACAAATATTATCTCCACCCCCCAAAAAAGGGAAAAGTAGAAAGAGTATTTTCAGACACTAGACTTGAGTAGGCTATAGCACTTGGGCCATAAATTTCACTAGCAGATTTTTATAGATCTTTAGAACTGAGTTATTCATTCTGACCGTTGCAAAGGAAGAGAACTAGGATTTTGGCTTCTTTCAAAAAATGGGTTGAAGAACAAAGCAACTTCTCTGGATCCAGAGCAAAACAAGTAAGGGGAGTGCTTTGGTATTGACATTCTACTTCCTTTATCTAACTGGGTTGTTATATCATCTGTGATTCACCTATTCTAAGTGATTGGTCCCAGCTGACAAATGCTGAAGTCCTAAGCAGCCCACTGACTTAAAGCTGTGCAACAACTCACTAAATCTGGGAGAAATCTTGTTTGTGTTCTCTGTAATGGTTACATCTACTACTGCCCACCATTAGAGATGAAGTAGGATATGGATTATTTCTCACTTAGGAATGTATTTTGCATTCACACCTAAAATATCAATGCTACCATTTCTTTTCAATATTCTTTTCCTTCATTTCTATCGTTCACAGTTATGATAAAATCTCTAGTTCTAGGTACTAAGTCCAGAACGGTAACTAAAGTGGGGTCATTAGAGCTTTCCTCCTGGGTATTTCAATTCAGAAAGTGCCTACAGCACCACTTTTTCTGCCATATCCAGGTGCACTCTGCACTTTGGTAGCAATAGTGGGCATCTGGAGTTCACTTATTCCCTCCAGAAACTTCACTCTTGGTTCCCCCAAATTCCCTCTCCAGAAGCAACTACTCTACAACAAAGAAGAAACTTCATGGCATCCTAAGATGCATTTCCTTCCTTTTACCTAGATGTGAGGATTTTTAGTTATATGTCTGTCAGAGTCTCTTCAGCTCCCTTTGAACAGTATCCAACACATTACCACTGAGGGAAGGATGCAAAATAAATAATATTGATGGTGCTGATATCATGCATACATAGAGTACTTTAAATGAACAACAATTTCAAAAGGTTTGAAATGGTTGAATCATATTTTTAATGTTCATAGGGAGCTCACAATTCAAAGGAAGCCTTGTGTCAATCCTTTGTGAAATCACTAAACAACTCTTAATTTATTTTATTCTTTTAGATTTTTGTTTCTTGGCTGTTCATAAAGTAAGATACATCCTGTTCCTCTAGACAATCATTTTTTAATGACTTGCAAGCTAAAATCTCAAATAAGTTTTCATGAAGGAAATTCAAAATGGTAGAACTAGGAAATTCATTGTGTTGTGCAGTCGTAACACCTGTTGAGCCTCTCAAAGTCTCCTTAGCATGAGAGTGTTAAAGGTCTTAATGCTTAGCTATTGAATAACAATGCTTAATATTTTTAAAATTACATTACCTATTTTCTATATTCTGATGCTAATTCCTTGAAAAGCAAATCATCAAGCAAAGCCAATTCTTTTCCTTCCTAGACTAATAAATAAACAAATAAATAGTTCTTTTAAAGTATATATAAAGATGTGCCTAAAATGTTTTAAGATCAATCCCATCTAGATAAAAATTATGGAATTAATAGGAAGATAATGGGCAATGAGTGAGATTTTCTTTAAGTTATTAAGTTTTTTAAATGTTCTGTGGTACATGGAAGTGCGGATCCAATTTGAGGTTATACCTTTAACATTTTATATCTTCATCTCTCTAGTGAGCTGTCATTTTCAGTGCATTTGTAGCTCTCAGTAAAGAAGCCTCTTTAGTTTATTTTATGTTTCTAGGACTTGGAACCAAAGGGAAGTGTTTGGGGGTTTTGGGGTCTATGGTGATTTAATTTTCCTAGCACAGCCAAACTATTCGAAGTTTGACTGCTGTTCAACATAGTTAATGCATTTTTTTCTGTTCAGTTTGGATAGGAGTGGGAGAAATGAATTTGAATAATTATTTGAGTCAGCCCTTCAAAATTCACAGATAAAGCAGGTGTGAAATGTTTGATCCAGAAAGCTGATATTACCATAGGTGAAGAGTGACCTTAATGAGGATTCCCATAAACATTTAATGGACCATTGCCAGGCATGAGAAAGAAGAGACCTGAAATCTGAGTCAGGAGAGATGTTTACTAAGACAAATCAATTATTAATTAGTAGATAAGTATATAACGAGCACCTACTATGTGTCCCACATTCCACCATGCAAGAGAACCTAAAAACAGGAGGAAGAAGATATTTAACATTGATCAACAAACATTCATTAGTATAAATCAGTAAGCAGCTATTATAATTACAGTGATTAGTATAAATCAGTCTATAAGCATTTGTTATGATAATTATAATACTTAATATAAATCAATCAATAAGCATTTATTAGTCACTTACTATGTTCCAGGCACTGGGGATCCTATGACAAAAATAAAAAGTGCTTGACCTGAAGAAACCAGCTTGCTTTCTATAGGGTCTGAGGGGAAGAGGGAACAACAGTATGTATACAATATGTACACATAGAAGTATATATGCAAAACAAAGACAAGAGAATTGGGAGGGGATGGCACTAACCTCTGTGAAGGTGTCGAAAATGAAACTTGAGTTGAGTTTTGAAGGAAACTAGGAATTCTAAGACCCAGAGGTTGGGAGGGAGTGCATTCCAGGCATGGGGTGTGGCCAACACAAAGGCATGGCATTATGGGATGAAATGTCTGTCATCTGTAAAGAACAGCAAGAAGGCAAGTTTGGCTGGATTCTAGTATAAACGAAGGAGAACAATTTCCAATAAAGTTGAAAAGTTAAGTGGGGTGAAGTTGCGAAGGACTTTAAACACCAAAGGAGTGTGCATTAGATCCTAGAGGCAATAGGGAGCCACAGAAATGTAATGAGTGACATGCTCACACATACGCTTTAGGAAAGTCACTTTGACAGCTGTGTGAAAGACAGAGAATACAGTGAGACCAATTAAGAAGCTTTTTTAAAAAAGTAATGAAACACTTTTTTTAGAGGGGGCTGGGGGATAGGCAGATGAAGCTCTATTTAGAGACAAATGAAAACTTCAGAACTAGATTAGACTTTAAAGGGAATACACAGAAAAAGTGGGTAGCTTCAAGGAAGTCAGGGCTCTGTGTTATATGAATTTTGTATCTACTCCAGCCTTAGCACAGTGTTCTGCATATTATAGGCACTTGATAAATGTTCATTGAATGAATAAGGAATAAGTAACTGAAGAGAAGAGTGAGATATATTTCAAAAGATCTGTGTTCACACAAATTTGGCCATTTCCTTCACTAACAAAAATTGAAACTTTACCCATCCACCCTTTGTCTTCACTAACTATTGTAGTAAATGATTAATTAAATAAGTAATAAGCCAACATGTAGTGGTTAATATTCTAGTGATGGAGATCTCAAAAATTGAGGTAGGCTGGTTATTGGATAACACATACATAAAATATATTCATTAACTAATACTCAAAGCTTGTAGTATCTTTCCAGAGCTTCAGCTGTACTGATAAAGGCCCTTTGGGAATTCAGAAGAGACATAAGGGTAGAATTTTCCTAGAGGAAAGCAGGTTTTGAGATATAAAAAATAATTTTTAAAGAAATAAACTTAAACTTCCAGTTAAGAGGGTGATGTGAAAGTAGTAAGGGCAACAGAAGAAACAATGATAAAAATAATCTGAAGAGAAAATTAGTAAGCTTCTCTATCCAGTCCAGGACTATATAAGAAGATGACCAGAAGGCTTCAGACACTCAGAATAGGGTCAAACTAGGGGAGACAGGGCCAACTTAACAACTGGGCACATGCCAAGCCTTGCAAGAGGCCTGAGATCAATCTGACCTCCAATATCCAAATGGATTTTGTCAAGGCCTCAAGAGGGGATGGAACTCCTGATTGGGAACTGTACAAAGAAACCAGAGCTAACCATTGTACTGGAACACCAGAAGAAAAAGGCAGAGAGCAGAGAATGAGGTAGAGGATCAAATAGGGGTAGTTCACCCCACCCAAGAGTGGGGATCGGGGTGGAGTCTGGCCTTGGCACAAAGTTTCAATCTCCAACTGAAGCTGGTGGTATGAGTTGACAGATGAAAATCCTCAACACAATAAAGAAACACTACTACTTAAGAGAAGACCAAGAGGTAAATCCAGGAAAGAAAAACTTCACATCATGTATAATGGAAACCTCAGAGAAAATAGGCATAATGACTTGAAGAGTAGTTGGAAGAAAGGAAGCAAGAGATAAAAGTGAATTTAGAGTTCTTAAGGGAAACAAGGAGAATAAATAGCTTAGAACACAGATGTACTTACCCAAGTAGCAGACTCCTTGAAAAATAAAATGGAACAAACAATCCCATGTTCTTTCTACAATAATAATTACCGCTTGAAATATGACTAAAGAGGAGAGGCAGAGACTCTAAACAGAGGAAGACGTAATTAATATTGAGGCCATTAAAAAAAAAGAAAAGACCTTGAAAATAGAAAAGGGAAACCTAAATGAAGTAAACCATGGTAAATCATCCTTACTGAAGAACTCAACTCTAGAAGACTAATCAGAAGGATTAGGTCAAGATTATTTCTTCTTTATCCCATAAGGATGTTTTGCTTGGAAAATATGTTGTTTGCCTAGGACCCTTGACTTGATTGACTCTACAGATTTACTGTTTTATTTCTTAATAATAAAATTTTTCATGAACTCTAAAATGCAGTCGGGAAAATACTTCAGTACAATAGACATTTTTCCATCATCCCAAGCGAACTCCAAACTCTGTAAGCCCTCCCCATATCAAGAATGTGAAATCGTAGTTTCCAGTTCTTTGCTCAAATGTAACAAGTTACCTCTTGCTTAACCTCTTCTAAGAGACAAGAAGGCATCAGATACAATTATCACACACACTTTCTCCCATTATTTTCTAGTCTTTCCCATCCTGAATCAATAGAATAATCATTTCAGTTATTTGAGAAAAGAAGTCAACCAACCCCAGCATTTCACATCTTTACACATTAATTTTTTTTAAAAGGAAAGCTTCCTCCTTCCCCCCAAAATGTGAGATATCCATTGGCCCTATATTTTTTGTCCTTTTGACTCCAAGAGGAAAGCATTTAGATAGCATTTAATTACTCCCAAACTACCTGACAGATTAAAAGTCTAAGCAGAGAGAAGGGCTTTGCTGATGACCTGGTTGTTTTAGTGCTTTCTGGTGGAGACAGACTTAGTGAAAATACTATGGCTCTCAATTAGGCATCTGGGTGACTTATAAATATATATTTATGTTTGAAGCCTAAGTGGCCACTGGCTTCCCTACTGTTTTACTTAGCTAACAAAACAACTCTATCAAAGTAAGTATTATTCCAAAACCCAACTTCCTGTGCAGAATGCTCCCATGTGTTCCATCAGTCTGACTCTCTGATGAACTACATCGTTTCTTATAAACTGTCCATGGCCCATAAATTTCCAAGCATAAAGGCTATTACTGTGCCGTGCAAATCTGTTGAGAATTGAGGCCTTATAACTTCATTTTACCTGGCTGCAAATGAGACTTAGGGAGAAAGTTCATCTGCAAACTTCATTCCTCTCCCCCTCTTCTTATCCCCACCCCATTCGGATCAGTGAGAATTATTTAGTTTAGAGACTTGAGTGCGGGTTTGTTTTGACTGATTTTAAACAGTCTCTGTATCAAATTAGCATCTCCTGTGAGGGTTACACAGTAGTAAGGGAAAAGAGAGAGTTGGCAATTATCTGACCAATTAGGGCAACGTAGACTGCATAATTGTTTTGTGTGTGTGAGGGGGTGTGCGCTTTATTTTGTACTATCTGAATAATTCTGGGCAAAATTTAAAAAAAAACATGGAGATGTTGCCCATTTTTTCTTGGAAATTGAAACTCTGTTTATGTGACTGCAGGCTGAAAAAAAATTATAGTATGCTTATCAGAAAAGGGATGCAAAAAGTATAAGGTAAAAGCAACTTGAAATATGATGGCTAAGGCAAATAAACATCATAGGGCTATCAAAGAGTTAAATACTGCATTGAACACAGTGTGAACGTCTATTTACCTGTAACTTCCCATTTCTCATTAGACAGAGATATTCATTCACATACAAGAGTTGAATACAGACTTCATTTCCTGGGGAGAGAAACTGTAATATATTTTATCATCAGGTCCTAGGTAAGACTTTGGCTAAATTCCAGTTCATATCATGATCTAATTTATACTGTTCAAGGCTATATAGAATAAAGGGGGGAAAGGTGGGGCACAATCAAAGCTTTTTTGCTTCAACGGAAAAAAATAGTCAATTGTGAACGATAACAAAGAATTTAGAAAGCAGATTAGGGTATTATGATGTCTTTATCCCCAACATTTCTTGATGGCTTAGCACTAACTTAATTCAGTTTAATTTAATAATTTCTATATGGATAGATATTCTTTGCAGGATAACTTAGAGACTGCATGCTGTATTAGAATAATACTAAAGCAGATGTCTTTGAAACTGAACCACTTAAATTTATTAGTCATAAACCAATTAAAAGATTCTGTAGAAAACTGATCCACCTCAAGAATAAAAAATTGGGAGGACTTTCCATGTATTTTTAAAGTACAATGAAGGAAAAAGAAAATGATTTAGCTTATTTAGACTGTGATGCTTCTGGGCTTTTTTGTTGTGTGCTTTTTTTTTTCTTTTTTTTTTTTAAATGTGATAGGGAAGCAATCTCACCTTGTCAGTCTCTAACCCAGAAGCTGTCTTTTCACCTTCACGCTTTCATCCTCTGCTCATTAAGTAAACAGTGAGATGTTCCTGATATTGTTAGCCTTTTGAATATAGAATTCCTTACTTTTGTCTCAAGATATATCTTTCATGGCAAAATATGGAAACAGCATTTGTTTTAGTCACTTATTTAGTGCAAAAGAGGTTAATAATTCAAGAGAGAGAAAAGAAGACCCATTTCCTTAATCTCTTTAGATCCATTGGAATTTTAATTTTTCTCCAACTGTTGAATTCTAATGTAGAAATGTTCATCTAATGAGCTCAATGTACATAATCTAAAGGATTTATCAATGTAGGCAACAGGGAAAAGGAGAATGAAATAACATCCTTCTCAATGTTTGGTGTTCTAAACATGAGGTCCTGATTGTAAAATTACTGCTGCATTTATAACATCAGGGAAATCTCACATCTTTCATTTCTTGAAAAATAGTGTTTAGTGGGACATGATCCATAATCCACAGCAATTAGAATCCAATGGTGCCATTTTATGCACATAATTCTAGTCACTATTCATTTCTAAGGTTTTCACTAAAATTCACTTTGGAGGAAAATATTCAAATTAATAATATGGTTCATCATCCATTACATAGTGCTAAATGATTCATAAAAACCTGAAAATACAACTCCTAGGTTATTGAAATAAGATGTAACAGTAGTATAGTCAGCAATTTTTCATTGTTTACTCTAGAATGCATTCATTTGAAGTGCTTATTATGTTGTGGAAAATAAGAGGTTATACTCTCAGGAAAGTTTTCTCTTAAATAGATCATAAAATCTCACTGTGAATATTTAACTGAAGAGTAATAACATGGTGTCGTATTCTTACACAGTATAATGCGATAACACTCTACATTTTGACATCTGCCCAGGCAGATGTTTAAAACTAAGTTCTTAGGAATTTTTTTTCCCTAAAGTTGCAGGGGAGAAAAAAATCTGGGAATCATCTTTTGC